AGAAGATAAATTTGAATATATTCAATTAGATCCTCAAGAATCATCTCATCAGCCGCAATTAATAAATTCAAAAGTGTCGAAACACCACGATCTTGTAAATCGATTTTTCCACTGTAAATATATCTATTAAAATTTGCAAAATTTTCATTATTCTTGCATTTAGTTTAATAGTAGTTATTTGATTTTTGTATGAAATTACCTTAACAATAATTCAAAAACTTGTGGTTCGATGTTGGGTTTCTTAAAAATAATCATCTTATTTGGTTCGCGCTTCACCCAAGGGTCAGCAAGTGCTACCGAAAAATAATGCGACTGCACCATCAGGATTGCTGAATGAGCTGAAAAAGTGCGAAGGGTGTTTTGATTCTCGCCAACAATAATTGAAATATCACAATATTTTGAATTTTTGCAAAATTCATCAAGCCTGTTTGAGTGTAAAGTCAATAGCAAGTCGGGTGTCATTTTTTTTGGTTAATTTTAATGATAATTTTTATCTATTTCTTGGTGAAGAAAAGCGAGTTAACGATTATCGAAATCGGATCGATAAATAAAAAATTTTTATTACATGTATTATCATATGCATCCAGTTATTACAGGATATTTGTTACTTGTTGCTGCCTTTTGTTGTACACAGCATTGTAGAATTCATTGTAAAGGATAAAACAATTACAACGTTTGTTACAATAAATATTATAAATTAACTTCACTTATATATTTCTTTGCTATATTTTTATTCTTGGAAGATTAATACATGTATCACGGATAAATTATTTTTCTTATCATTACCAAATTAAGCTCACATGTGATAAATGTCAACCAATCATACATCATGATTTTAGATGCATATTAAAAAACTGACCGGTAACTACAAATGATGAATTACAGTACGCACGGAAAATAATGAAGCTTATTTTTTAAATTAAAAGTAATTTTCAATGCTATTACACACTAAATAGGGCATCATACTTCATTCGAGATTTCGTTTCACACACAACAAAACTACCCAAATAATTCACCGTGGTTTTACAAAATTCAATACTAGGTGCCGGGAAAAGTATAGTCGGAATGCGACTTTTTTGGAAAATTTACCCATATTTTTGCTGTTAGCTTTACTAATATTAAACTCATGATACCATCCATATTTTGCATCAAGGTGAAAATAACACTGTTTGATCTGTGTATCGGAAAATTATGTATCTAAAGTGCTGAGCCTAGAAAATAAAAATTTTATATAGTCACATTATTATCAATATAATAATAAAGATTTATAATTATAATTTTATTAAAAGTAAACTCTTTGTTTAATAGATGATTTGAGTAAAAAAGATAATAATCACATTATCACAATCTAATTCCTTCATTATTCTTTGCTGCCTCTGCTTCACGACTTGTCTTTTTGAGTTGAAAATATTTGACACCAACTTCCATTCTCGCACTAATAATCAATAAAAAAGCTGTAACGTAACCACTGATGATAGCGGCTTGATTAGAACCATTATTTGATGAGTTTTGACCAGAGGTGTTAGATGGAGAAGCGGAAGCGCTAGATGGAGAAATGGAAATGCTAGATGAGGAAGCGGGAATACTAGATGATGAATTGGAAATGCTAGATGAAGAGGCGGAAATATCGGATGGGTAATTTGGATCTTTTCTTAAATGTGCACACGCTCAAAATGCTACCATCATCACATACGGTTTGTGAGTTATGCGGCTACCAAGTTCATTGCACTCCTTCCAACTACAATATGCACCTCGTATGGCCCGTTGCAATTCACATAACATCTGGTAATGTTAATTATTCAGGGGGCATTTCTGAGCCATAAAATTCTGTGCATCTGACAATGCGGCGCTGGTATCATCACCGATCGAAATTGCGACAGAACCACCATTCATTGTACTGGCAACTTTTATCTTGTGCCGTAACGCCAATTATTGATAAATGTGATAGAAATCTTCAATATACCAGCCTTCTTGTGAAATTTTTCCAAATTGTAGCATCTTGATGATATTCGTCAATATAGTAAAGATATGATATGGAAACAGTTTTTTGAAAGAGATAAGAAACAAGAAAAACAGAACGATCGGTAATTTGATGTTGGCCAAAACGTATATGACTGAATTAAAAATAAAAACCATATACATTATGAAACATATTTCAAAAAACTCTGTGAATGTTTCTTTGGATTTTGTATGTTATGTCATTATACACGTAATACCGTGAAAAGAATCACCTGCTGATCTATGCGCATTTTGTCGATCACTATGCATTTGATCATGGAATATCATAGTTGTTCACTGTTCGCATAAGTCTCTTTATCATTACATGTACCAAGATGTGAGGGTGGAGATACATGTACTTTGCAAGGGTACACTATGATGGAAATTTGAGATGGTTTTATTATAATAGTAATGTATGTCAAACTTATATTTTCACGCCTCATATTAATCAACCCATAAGATCGGAAAACCTGCACAGATTCAAGGAATGGGCTTTTTATTAAACATTCAAATTCTTTACAAAAGTATATTTCATAAATATATTTAACTATTTGTATTTGATTTTTTAATTAATATTTTTAATTTTAAAAAATCAAATAACGAATGAATAGAGCTTTCCGATTCATTATTGTGTTCTATAATCAACGCGACATGATCAGCAAATGCACGAATCTACGAATGACTTTCAAGCAATTTCAAATGAAAATTTTTTCGTTTCTCTTCCCCTGATTTTCCTATCCAGGTATCCATATATTCTCTAGTTTTACCTAGCGGAGTCTTCTTGATCGCTCTTACAATGGTGTCCGTTGAATGGAACTCGATGAAATTTTCAAGTAGATACATCACCATGTCCAAATGATCGTATTTCGCTGAAAATTTGAGAAGATCGCATTTTTTGCCACCTTCTTGCTCACTCCATTCCTTTTGAACATCCTCGATATTGGTTATCATAGCTCTTAATATGCCAATATCCAAACCGTATTTTACGGCTGGCCAAAGATGATTTGGATAGGCTGGTGCTTTTTTCTTAATGTATCTGAAATCAAAACCATACATTTGTTTTTAAAAAAAAACACGATGACAAAACAAAACAAATTTCGATTTTACATGCTCTTAGACTCTTCGTTAAAATCAGTATCGCTATAAATCGAGGCGCCATTTGTAACCATTGCTAAGATTAAGTCATGTGACCATTGTTTATTTCGAGGAGATATCTGGAAATAAGAGTGATATACAATATAAACATGATTACAATCATAGATAATATATCTGAATAGAGTGAACTTACTTTTAAAAATTGTTTGTTCAAAACTGAACCATTTTCAAGTCTTTCAAAAGAGTTCATTAGCCTCTCAATACATTTAAAATTCGACGAGCACAACAAAGACCTACCGAATGGCTAATCCTAGAGCACTATGTCCAGTGCGATTTAATGCATTGATAGGAAAACCTTTACCAATCAGCCATTTTACAACAGCTTCTATATCCTCTGGATTAATTCGTATTTCATCAGGTATGCCATTAAGATGAGAAGAGCTGCCAGAATTTTGTGAACACAACGAAACCGAAGACGAATTTTGATGAAAGTAGAAATTATGAAGGACAAGAGAATGAAAAGGTGTAGTTTCTGATGAATCTTGGACGCTAATACCATTTCCGTAATTATATAAGCTGTTAAGAAAAGCTATTTTTTTCTCAAAAGGAGTGTAGGTTAAAATAATTTCATATAATTCCATATGAGCAAATTTTTGTGGTTTTTGATTTTTTTGAATTTGAACTATTTTGGAATAATCTCCGAATTCTAAAAAAAATAGACTTCCTTTAAAAACCTTTGAATCGTTGTTTAAATGCCAGTTGAAGCCAGAGAGATCTCCAACCGCTGCGTGGATACCGGGGTGACATCTTGGAGGGAAAATATCACGGCGGAAGTAATCATAGAATTGTGAATAGATTTCGGTGCAAGTTTTCTTGTGCAAAAGATCATTCATTGTTACATCTTTTTCAGTGGTCCACGAAGACTTACGAGAAATGTCAAGTTTGTTATGCAAGCTTGGCATAGAAACGGTGGGAATTGGATCTTTATACTCGTTTAGCCGAACAGTGGGAGGAATACAAGGTTGATTCAGGTTGATCCAAGATGGGACATGAAATTTGTTTTGTGACAATTCTTGTGGAGCATACGAGGGAGGCTGAAATTGGTCCTGGGTGTCTTTTGGAAGATAGGAAGGAAGAAAGGATAGAGTTTGGGGCGGACTCTGCTGGGAAGTTGCCATAGGAACAGCTTGACCTGACAATTGTAAATTATCTGATTCAATTAATTGAACGTTCCATATATCGAATAAATTTTGATCCTGATTATTAGAATGATTTCGTAGTCCTAAAGAGTTTGCAGGTAGCTTATTTCCTTCCATATAGTAAAATCCCTTTAACTCCTGTCTCAATTTTGTCGATAAAATCTTTTTATAAGGTCGTACATTAGTGTAATAATCGCTAGATGACAATAAAAAGAAACGTATGTGTTTCAGAAGCGGTCCAATTGCTTTCTCCAAAAGTTCAAAATTTCCTTCCGACCATACACTAACATCGGATTGTAGTTCAGAATGGTTTGCTTTGCCCCAATCAATCAAGCGCTCCCATATTTTTATTTCGGGTAAATTCAAATCATTTCGTTTTAAAAGGGTTGTAAAATTGATGTCGGACAATAAAGTGAAATCGCCAGCGTCAAATATTGCTTGAGGATTTTCGCGATAAATAGATTCGCAATAACTACGGAGTTTAGTGTATGAGGTGTGTTGCCGTGCAACATTAAGAATCTTTATGAGGTTTTCTTGAATATAGGTTTGGTCATTGTTTAACAAGTATAGCTGAATATAATCAAGAAGAGAATCGAGTCTCAATTTCTCAGCTGTAGCAAGTGAAGAAAGATAATCAATGACATTATTTCGTATTTCTTTTTGGAGGTCGATTTCTCCGGTATATAGAAACCTATTTTGTTAATTCAAATAAGCCGACAATTTTGTGAGGAAGTGGAATCCCTCAATTCATCACCATTATTAACATTTAAGAACTCACTTCAAAATACATTCAAATATACTGGGCTGAATATCTGAATTTCGTAAAACGTATTTATTTTCCTCTTTTTCCGTTTCTTCGTTTAATATAGCTGCATTAAAATAGGAACTTCTAGCACAAAGAATGACCGAATGTGCGTTAAAGATTTTTTCGTCTTTAGTTGAACTGACGATAATTTTCACATCGTAATTATTTGTCTGTTTATCGTATATCGAAGCTATATCCCGGAGAAATTCATGACGTAATTCATTGATGGAGAACATCTTAAGAGAAATAAACTATAGTTTTGTTTCAAAGAAGCTTTAATACTTAATCGTATGATAAGTTTTATCAAACTTTATGCAATGTGCCAGGTGCGATGTAACCGGAAAACTTTCATAGTTTTAGCGAGAACTTATTTTTGAGGGTATTAAAGAATCCAAAACAAATTGTGCTATACGAACATGCAAATGTGGAATGTGTAATGTAGCTTTAATTCAGTTATAAAGAATCCATAAAAGCATTGTGTTATGCAAACAGGAAAATTTGTGGATTGTATCATGCCAAGGTTTTAGTAAGAATCTATTTTGAGGGGATAAAGAATCCAAAACAAAATTGTGCTATGCAAACCTAATCTGTGCAATGTGTCTCGTAACTACTGTAAAACTGTCAAGGTTTAGCGAGAAATTTTTTTTGAGTGAATAATTCGGTTGTTAAGAATTCAATTCAAATTGTTCAAGAGAAACACACAGAAATGATGATTCGATACGCAAGTCCATTGGCACAAGTCATTATAGTTTGTAAATTAAATTATGAAATATATTTGCATCAAACTTGTTAATTTGAACTTCAATTTATCTTCAAATCTCTCTTTTATATTGGCAAATTTCGTCTTTTTCATCGATGTTTTACTTTCTAAAAGCTTTGGTGCTCTTCTTAACTTCTGGCATGTTTAACGCATTAAGCGGTAATAACCATGAGATTTATTTTTTGTTCGTGATTTATTATCAATTCCTTATCTTTTTTACATTTAACAAAAATGAAGGAATGGGCGGTGGTGGTCAAGTAGATACAGAAGTTTCATCGAACGCAAACGTAGCATTGTATACCCTATTCTCAGTCGGAGGTCTCGTCGCAGGAGGAATTGTAAATATCATTGGGCCAAGAATAGCAATGGCTATCGGCGCTAGTACTTATGCATTATATGCCGGTTCTTTATTGAGTTATAATCATAATCAAAACAAAGGATTTGTTATCTCTGCTGGCGCAATACTTGGACTTGGTAAGTTTAATACTTAAATAAACGGTTCTCACATTTTTGTTTAGCACGTGATATATCTTTATAATATTGTAGGCGCAGCGTTGGTATGGACTGGTCAAGGTGCAATTCTAACTTCATATCCTTCAGAACGAAATAAAGGAAAATATATTGGAATTTTCTGGGCAATATTCAATACAGGTAAAGATTTAGCTTTGGCAGATGTACTTCGCTCCGGTGAGTGTTCTGACTCCTACTGATTTTTATTATAGGTGCTGTTCTAGGTTCCATCCTTCCACTTGCTTTAAATTGGTCTTCAACAGCTGGATCAGTCAATGACGGGACTTATATCGGTTTCCTCGTCTTGATGATTTTTGGTTCAATTTCGGCCCTTGCACTTCTTCCACCGAGCCGAGTATTTCATCAGGATGGACATCCGGTGCAAGTACAAAAATTTCCAACATGGAAAGCTGAAACTATTGAAGTAGCTAAATTGTTTTTAGATTGGAGGATGATTGCTTTATCGCCAATGTTTTTGGCTAGTAATTGGTTTTATGCTTACCAGGTATGTGCGTATTCTGTACACCTACTTGATTGTGTTAAATCAAATCTACAACAACAATATTCTTAGTTCGACGATGTAAACGCTGCCTACTTCAACGTGCGAACACGTGCTTTCAATAATTTATGGTACTGGTTCTGTCAAATTATTGGCGCCACGGTGTTCGGATTATTTCTAGATGCCGCATTTCTAACGCGTTCCATGCGAGCTCTTTACGGACTTTTCATAATGTCTTTATTCATTATGGCGACTTGGATAGGAGGACTTGCATTCCAATTAAAATACGCAAGAGGCGATAAAATAAATAGAGACCTTTTTGATTCTGGGTATGGTGGCGAGTTGCTTTTATATATGGTTTATGGATTGAATGATGCGATGTTTCAGGTAAAGCTTAAAAAAAGCTGCGGTTCAATAATCCTTAAATAGATGTGACTTACGCCATTTTCGTATATGTTAGTGTTATGCATATTGGATAATGGGTGCATTGACTAATGATACGAGTAAATTGTCGCGATATAATGGGTAAGATTATTACTGTACCATTTACATGTTAAGATATTTTGTGTATCAAATGATTTACTAAGTTTCTTTTTACCTCCGCAGTTTCTATAAAGCAATACAATCAGCGGGTGCAGCAATATCATGGCGAATTGACGCTGTAGGAACAGCATACCTCCCGCAACTACTTATATGTTGGGTGTTACTTATTTTTTCCATAATTGGTACGTTTGCTGTTGCTATAAAAGTCAAAGACACGAATTATGATTCAGAAGGGGTCGTTGATAACGAGATAATATCCATTTGAATAGAGGAGGAGCGAATCCTTTCACAAAATTTTTAACTGTACTCATATAACTATCTTTTAATTATATGTAAATTAATAAAAAAATTTATTATAATCATGCTCATCCGGTGGCGAATCGATGCTTTAATCGTTTATTATATTTCGACGATTGTAAAAGTTTTTATCTCAATTAGCAATAATTTTTAATATTTAATTATAATTATAAGAGAAGAATTATAATTCAGATAATTTTATTTTATAATAATTATTACAATATTATTAATATAATATTTATTATATTTAAAATATTTAATTAATTAATATAAAAAATATATTATTTATTTTTAATATATTTAATCAATATTCACTATATTTAATATATTTCATTTAATAATTACTAAAAAAATATAATATTAAGATAAGTTATTTATTTTTAATATATTTAATTAATATTAGTATAATAATTAGAAAAGTTAAATTAATTAAATATAAATTAATTACTTTAATAAATATAAATATTCTAGATAAATTATTAATATTTACAGTGCTCGTCATAAGTAATGAGAATCAAGTTTTCTCTATGGAAAACAATTCGAATGAACCGAATTTTTTACTATACAATCTTAATTATAAAAGAATAAAGTTACCTAGTATGATATAAGTAATTTTTATAATAGAATTTTTCCAAAAAAAAGTGGTTTTTTTAAGTACCGAAAGAATTCATTAGATTATTCCATTTTTGTTTCTTAAACAAATATGTTCCTCTCTTAAAGATACATTAGTATACCATTTCTATAAAGTCTGAATATGTATTCATAAAGATATCTGCAAATGTATACAAAGTTTTCCATGAAAAATAAAATATCATTTTTTTGTAAGTTTGATTAAATGTATTTTATTGAAAAAAGATTCAAATTTTGTAAAGATTTCAATATTAATTTATTGCTTATAGAAGAGTATATTTATCTAGAAAAGTATATTATAATAGCCTAGTAAAATTTTCAGAAATTTATTAAATAATTTGGTAAAATCATCAATTTTTTACTTCCCATTTTCAAAAATATTTTTTGCTGTTTAAATAAAATTTACTAATAATTTTATTATATTAATTAATTATATTGTTCTAAGTAAACTTATTCATTAGGTATTTAAAAATATACAGTTAAAATTTCATTTTATTTAAATAATTTTTTATAAAGTTATAACTATTTAATCAATTCTCATTACTTATAGCGAGCACTGTAATAATAAATTCTAATAATAATATTAATAATTATAATAATAATTATAATATATTAAATTAATTATAATTATTTTTTTTACTTAATTCTTTATTAAATACTTCTTTATATTTATAATTTAATTCTTTTAATTAGTTATTACTATCTTTTTCTATATTAATAACTATCTAATTAATTATTATTATTATTTTTTTATATTAATAACTAATTTATTTAATCAATTATTAACTTTATTATATTTATCAAAATATATTTATTATTAAATCTTTTATTGTTTTTAAATTTAATTATATTTATTGTAATTATAAAAATTATTTATCAATATAAATATTTAATAAGAACTTATTAAATAAATAATATAATAATAATTTAAGATAAGATAATTTAATTATTAAGATAAGAATATAAAAACTTTATTTGAATATTTTATTATTACTTATTATTATAATATTATTTATTTACTATTATAAAAAAGATAAAATATAAATTATAAAATTTTAATTTATAAATACTTATAATTTTATTATTTAAATAGTAATTGAGTCTAAAGTTATATAAGAATATTTATTTATAATTATAAATAATATAAAATATAAAGTAAATTATTTTAATTGATAAGTACTTATAATTTTATTATTTAAATAATATTCAGATCTAATAGTAAGTATAAAATAGAATAATTTATTTATATAAAATAAAATAAATTAATAATTTTAAATTATATGAATTTATATAATTAAAAATATTAATTATTATATTTTTAAAGATTTATTATACTTATTTTAATAAAATATAATTAATAATAAAAAATATAATTATAATAAAAGAAAATAAATAAAAATATAAAAGAAAATATTAAAAGAATATTAATTAAAAATATTAATTATTTAAATTAAATATATAATATAAAAATAAAATTTATTTATTAATAAAATTATAAATTTTAATATAGAGAGAAAATTTCAATTTTTATTATATTTTATTAATAAATTTAGTCTCTGAGTTATTACTTTTGGTTATTACTATATATTTCTTTTTAGTTATTTAATTTTACTTTTTCAAGTATAATAATTATAGAAAAATCTATATATATTTTATAAATAATAAATCTGTCTTAATAATTTATAATTTTTTATATAAATTAATACAAAAAAATTTATATTTCAATATAAAAAATATTTAAATTTTTACTAATCTTTATAAAATTTTTATATTAAATAAAAATAATTAAAATTAACTTTTTATATTATTTTAACTATTCTATTATACTTTTAATTTAATAATAAATAAAATATTAATTTACTAAAAAAAATTAAATAAAATTATTTTTTTAAAAAAAAGATATTTTAAATATTATTATTATTAATTTCCAATATTATAATTTTAAATTATATAAGCAAATTATCTTAATATTTTTATAATTACTAATTTAATTTTTATGAAATTTAAATATATATTTATTAAATCTAAGATTCAAAACTGAAAAATTAAATTATTTATTATATAATTTTTATATTAATTTTAATCAAATTTTATATAATTAAATTTAAGAAATAATAATTAAAAAGTTGTTATTAGTAAAAATTTCTTTATTAAAAATATATAATAAAAATTTTTATATTTAAATAAATATAAATCTCTAATAATTTAATTAAATAAAACAAAATTAAAATTTTATTTTAAAAAAATAATATATTATATTATTGTAACAAAATTAGATTTATATTCTATCTCACAGATTATTGCTGCATCACATATTATGCCACATATGATTTACTGCATCACAATTACCTGATTATCCCAAGAAAAGTCACATGATATATTTGAGTTATTTTAGTTATAGATAGTTTTTTTAGTAGAATTTC